AATTAAAATTTCATGAATAATAAACAATAAATCAATGAAATTCATTAAAGATTTTCTTGCTACGATCAATATTGCAAAAGCGAAAGAAAAACGAAGAGACAAATTTCTCTTAAGCTGCAAATGCGCATGAGAAATATGATGAATGGGATTGATACTTCATCCAAGCCTTGGCCCGTGACACGAAGAGGTGTGCATGTCGGATAAGCACGCAAATAGGAATACGTGCCATTAAAGTTCGACATCATTCGTCGTAAAAGATCTCGGAGGCAGGCTAGTAATGGTTTCATACGTTCACGAGAGCGTAGTAACGACATGCTAATGCTCGCAGCTCGCGGAATTAATGGAGGAACTCCGGTAGGCAAGACTGAAGGAGCATGAGGACCACGAAGAGAAGACGATGTGACAAATAAGAAGAAGAAGAAGAAGAAGAAAAAGAAGAAGAAAAAGCGATAAGGAAGCGGGCACACCTCGGTTGCGGCTCATTACGATCATTATGAATGCGTACGGCGACGCGGATGACAAGGACGACGATAAAGACGATGATGACGGTAATGATACGGCGATCGTAGTTACGACCGGGTCGATGGCGCGTAATACGCGCGATAAACTGCCGGACGGGTTGCGTTTGTTTCGTTAAAAGGAACCGGTTGATCGAACCGCAGGCATAAATCGAGAGAGGAACGAAAACATGCGTGGAGAAGTAAGAATTAAAAAGTAACAGTCAGACAGTTCAAATAAGAGATAAAGAGAAATTTAATTATTTGTTGTGTTACCCGAATAATAATTTTTATTATTCATATCACAGTCGATTTAAAAAATAATTACTTGTAATAAAAATCCAATAAATAGTTTAAATACTTCGATATTATTAGTTATATGAGCAACGTTATAAGAATAAATATTCTTTTTCGAGTAATTAAATAATTAAAAACATAATTGTTTTGTTTCTTAAAGTACAAAATTTTAATTCGATGCTATTATTTATATCGAGTAATTATTTTTATTCAGATAATTGATTCGGAAAATAATTATTGATTCTCCATGAATAAATAATAATTTGACATTTATTACAGTATATATTCAAATAATTATTTAAATAACTATAATATACATAAATATTTTGGAATCATACGCATGGTAAGTAAAATTAAAATTATTTTCATGAGTTTATCGATGTATTTTAATTTCTTATATAAGCGAAAAAAAGCTCTTTTCTCATTCAAGTTGCATTTAAGTCGGAAAATATTACGATGATTACAAGTGCGAATGAGATTAAAAGAGACAGCCGCATGCAGGCCTGGCCGCGTTTCATTACGGTCATTATGAATGCATACGACGACATGACGATGAAGTAAACGATAAGACTGTATGATGATGATGATGAGAGCTTGCTATCTTTAGATCAATGGTTCGTAGTACGCGCGATAGAACCGGCTGACAGAAACATCTCTTGAATAACAAGAACGTTAAGTACGCGATATGGCCGAACATTTTATTTTGTATTTTATTGCCAGCTTGCCTCGCGTTCTTCCCTCACAAGTAGATGTTGTAATCATGGTGTGAACGAAGCGATTATAGAGTTGCAATTTTAAAAATCGTCAATGCAATCCCGAACTTCTGAGGAATCTCGAACGAATTTCCGGAATCCATTATGAAGGAATGATGGGCATCAACATGATTAATGGCGGCAAAGGAAAAGATGGCAGAAAACGAGCAAGGATGATTGAAGATGATGATGACTAGATAACGAGGATTCGACATTTCAGGTCGATGGCGCGTAGAACGGACAACAAATAAGATAGCGGGAATGGCTATTCAAGGACGTAAGGTGTCCTTCTTAACAGAATCATCATGGTAATAATATCTTCGCGGACCAATAATATCTTCCTATAATATAAAGAAATTGCATCCGGCATAAATGTCAAATATGTTATTGATACATAGAAATGATCTCTTCTGCATGTAAATTGATCGAGCTTTTATCCGTTTTATTTAGTATTAATATGTAGTTTTCTCTTCAAAGAGGAAGAGAGTTTCATCTTTTCTAGAAGAGAAATAGATAGATACAAGAAGCCAAAGACTTTATTACATACTGAATTATTATTATTATTATTATTATTCCTTTTTAAACAAGAGGAATTTTCAATTTTCCGTATGATCAATTGTTCGTCATTAAAAGTTAATGAGAATTAAAATCAATTACGAGAACGAAATTATATCGAATAAGCAATAATTAAGACAGGAATTGAGAAATAATAAACAAAAGAATTTTTTGTGAGATATGTACACGCTCATAGATAATTTTATCTAAATTAAATCGCAAGAGCGGATACAATAGAGTGGTTTTAACGTTAAGAAATAGTATGCATACGACCTTCTCTTTCTCTCTCGTTACCTTCGATGTGATGGAACCTGCAGCGATCCGATCTTGTCGTCGAGGAACCTTCTCATAGCGAACCTGTCTAATGCTTGATCACGTCCCCCGCAGATGCTGCTGTAGTTCATATAAGCGGACACTGCCACACCCAACCGCTCCTTGCTGCCCCTGAAGAGAACGATAACGTTAACTTGGTACCGCGAACGTGCAATGTCGGTTCCGTACCTTCTCCGTAAGAGATAGGATACGAAAAGATTTCGCCGCGGGCTGATCGCAGTCTAATGACGTTATTATTCACGATGAATGGAAATGACTAACGGGAAATTATGGGCGCGGAGTTTCGAGGGGGCGGTGAACGTATACCACGCGGCAAAATTATGGCTTTTGTGGCCGATCACTTGAACATTGGCCGTTCTATAAAAACCAGGTCACGAATGCGTACGAGTGCGTAGAGTACATAGAGAGTTTTGCGCTCATATAATTTATATCCTTTGAAAATAATTTCTCTTTGCCCCGAGGAATTTGTCTAGTGTTATTTTTCTTCGTAACTGGTACATATAAGTACGACGTTGTAAGTTTAAAGTTGCAAGTTTACTTTAATTATTATCTTCCTTATTCAAATTTATTACAAAGAATTAAAAGTTAAATTCGACAATATTTGATAATTGTGAACTCACCTGGCATGTAAAACAACGACGCGATTAGAAGCGCCATTTAGCCAGGAGTCCAGCTCCTTGCAGAGAGCGCACAGTCTCTCCAAACTTGGTGCTAATCCCTGCGGCCATCCAGCTTCCCTCGTATTCGGCTCGCCGGGTCGACCAGGCGATGACAAATTAAAGATCTAGAAGCCCAAAATAATCAAAATTTTAAAAACTTGTGGAAATAAACATAAAGAAAAAATATTGTAAAATATAATTCTATAATCTTGATCCATTTTATATAAAACATTGTTATATCTAAACAAAAGATACTAATGTTACATTGAATTGTAATATTCGTAATCGTACGATTTCAACATCAGCTAATGTTACAAAATATATAACTTTTTCTTTAATTTATTTTAAGGGAAAAAAATTATAAAAGTTATCTGAATTCTCACCATGTAATTATCGGCATGTTTCCCGCGTAGAAGGGTTGTGGCATGTTCGAGGACACCCTGCGCATCCTCTCTATACCAAAGGGCGATGATCCTCTCGGTGACGTAACACAGCTCCATCACCTCCGTCACGCGACCTCCGCCCTTTCCCGGTCCCGTCATCGTTGAATCCGCGCCGACGCCTGGCGTCCTTGCAGGTGTTGACACCATTGCTGATGTCTGCACCTGTAATTCAATAATTTATTCAAATTTAATAAATAAAAGATTTGCAAAATTTTGCGATTACTACATATAATATTATAATAGCAAAAATAATCAACAATAATTCAAATTTATAATAATTATAAATATATATTATTAATTTGTTTTAGAAAAATAATTAATTAATACTAATATCAGACATTATCGCCTAAAATATATAAAAGATTATCTTTTAAAATAATTATGGAAATTTTTTTGCATCGTCATAAATTAAATATATAAATTGAGAGACATTTTTGTAACAAAATTTGTCATTTATAGCAAACAAAATTCGTTTTAAAAAAGATCCTTTTGTGAGTGACTCCATTTCACTAAATCTTATCCGCGAACCTTTTCATAAAATTTGTCTCTGACTGCCGCAAAACTTAGTTTCCTCATACAAAACAATGTCATGCCAGACAATCAAATTTTCTTCGTGAAGATAGAGTTCATTTCTTTAGTCTACGAATTCACTTCGTCTTTCATTATTTTTCTTCCTAATAGCTTCAATACAATTGAATAAATAAATTATTATATATGGAAACAAACTTCTTTTTAAACAATGATATGTAAAAGAAATATTGATGGTTAAAATGCAAAACACATATTACATAAAGTGTATATTTAAGAAAATTACAAAAATTTGTTGCACATAAAAATGTTTTACATCATAACACTTGATAAATAGTTTCGTTTAATACCTTTAACTTAAAATCTTAAATTTTCAAATACTAAATATTCTTCAAATTTATAATTTGAAGAAATTTTAAATGATTTACATTTACTGTATCTATTGGATGAATTCGTCATACGTTCAATTGTATCTCACATAGTCACTTAATATTAGATACACGAATAATCGATAACTTGGTGAGAGTATAGTAAATCCATCGTCGTCATTGGCGGCGATGGTGTTCTATCCACCTTGGAGTACTTCGGCGCATAGACGATCCTGATGACGATATTCTCCGGCATGGCGATGTCCTAACGGAGGATACGCTATCAGAAAGTAAATCGACATGTAATCCGGGCGCTTTAAAGGGAACGTTGCGTTTATCCCGCCGCGACAGACAAGGACGCGAAGATATGCCGAGGTGATGCGCTGTGTTCTTCACCGCGGAACGATACACTGTCGAGTATTGTGTTTCGCCTGGTTCTACTGGAGATACGCAAGAATATCCAGTGACCAGTCGGCAGTTTTGTCAGATAATCGTACCGCCTTCTGCCAAGTCTGACGTGTGCCAGCTCGCACGCTCCAGGGCCGGCTTACCGTCATCATCGTCATCCGCGACATTTATTTGCGTATCATGATCGAGGATATACAGTCGTTACATAGAATTTTTGATACTGCTGTGATTACGTAAGCAATTACGTTATATGATTAATAGTTAATGATAAATTTTCAGCTGATAAGAATTGACTATATTTTTGACAAGAGTTTAGAAATAAGCAATTCTATGATATTTATGAAAAGTTTATTTCTTATGATTATTTCAATCCATTTTACTCCAGTAAAGTTAGAAATATTTTTTAATCGCTACTTTTATATTACATTAATTTATAAAAATATTCGCTTCTCAGACAGCTTTTAAGATCAAGACAAGTCCTTTTTATTTTACTAAACTTCTCTTTTCTTTAGTAGCTTCTTAATCTACCACTAAATTATTCAAAACGAAGAGGAGCCAGGAGATTACCAGGTTTTGTTACGAACTTCTCAGTTTGAAAATTTCTTGCTTCGAACGCATTGAAGCGTCCCTGAACGTGGATGGGAGAACTCGCTCGCGCGTGGACGTTGTGATGTAACGAATTCGTGCAAGTAGCGTGACTTTGATTCCCATCAAATAGTCACGCTACTCGCACTGCCAGTCGAGCCGTGGTCGATGCTAGACCCTCTTATGATGCACGAACGTTCAAGACGCGGAAGATTGCGCGGATTTGTCGCGAAGAACGTGCGAAAATTACACAGAGTTGGCGCGCAAACGAGCCGGATGTAAACTGTTTTTGCACGGTTGGTGCGGTTTCTTCTTCGCCGGACAACATCCGCGACGGGCACTTCGTCGATGAGCCGAGAATTATATCGTTTATAGGGCCTCAACCGTCGAGCACCATCGCCGTTGAGATATCCCATTATTGATGGTGCTTGTTAAAATTATTCGCATGATTTATACCGGATTATACAGTCATACGTTGTTTTGCGTTTATCTGCTTCGAAGTACTCGTCTCTCGCGTCCCGTTGAGGAATTTTATCAGAATAATTCACTGCTCAACGGAAACAGTAATGTATTCCGTATGTTTGACAAGTTGGCCTTTCTGTATTAATGTGTGCGCATAATTTCTGACTGTATTCAACAATCCTCTGCTTGAACCTTTTAAGCGGGGAAAGCCTTTGTGTATATGCCGGACTATAGTGTTATAACTAATTACGACAGAGCCGAAACGCGCCTGGAACACGTGTGGAACACTTGCATATGTCATTCTGTGTACTCGCATACATAATTATGTGCTCTAATCCTGTTATAATCTGGATTCATAAATAATTCTGTAGAATACTAAAATAAAGAAAAGATTATTTCTATAGGACACTGCGTGTCGTATTTTTGGGTGAGGTGTACACGAGCAATTTATATCCGAAGCAAACACAGTTAGGAGGCGAAGGAGCACGAAAAGGTGAAGAACAAATTTACTGGGCTCGCGCCTGAGTTTCAGAAATATAAAGGGCGGCTAACAATGAACGGGCGTCGCGGAAAAGAAAGCAGAATGAGCTGGGGCGAGAGAACAAGAGCGAGGCGGCTACCTCTAAAAATACTTGATTTTATGGGATCATAACGCCGCGAGTTCGTTTTCTCGCGGGACGTGCAGCCTACCCACCCGCTCATAAATCCCTTTGGCCGTTAGGCTCACGTGTGAAATTGCTATTACGTCGCGGTCCTACCGCAGCTGTCGCTACGCGGAAACCGCCCGTATATGTATACTCCTCCAAGACTATGGTATTTCGTATTCGATCGTAGGATCGGACTCACCTTACTCGGTTAAATGGAAGGCGCGAAACGAAGATATTGCCTGCCGCCTGTCAGACGTTGGCAAAAACAAGTCGTAACGTCGCCGGTTCGGAATTAAAGTTTCATAATGGATGAATTATTAAAATTGAGAAACTCGACGGTATTATGGAATTCAAGGGTGGCAGAATGGGATAGAATTAAGATTGCTTCGTAAATAGGAAGCTAGCTTGCTTTTAAAAATTATGATAATTTTACTATATTAGAAGTAATAGTATACGTAAATAACATAATAATAATTTATGTTTCCCAAATATTGCTGACTTCTAATTTTTGAAGATTTTTAAATATCTTATTTTATTACAAAATTTAGAATTTTAGAATCTTTATGAAAAAATATCAAAAAATTAAAGAGTATAAAAAGAACAAAATTCTATGTAAATATGATGTGCCTTTTCTATATAAATGTAAAGGAAATATAAAGGAAATGTTCTGTATCAAAAGATATAGATCAGATCGACATCGATATTAGTTCTATGCAGTTATATGAAGTTCTATAAGGCGAGAAATCGATGCACGCAATGAGCCTCATCACAATGTCAATTACCGTTAATCTATCTAATTGTTCGCGGGTAATTTCTAATTAAAAGTATAACGTTTAAATGAGTGGACTTAATCTTCATTGATTATATATAAAAGCTGATAATAGCAATATGTCTGAATTTCCCTCTCTTCGTTCTTATTATTTTATTCTATTATTAAATTTATTTAATATATGTGGAAACCATTCCTGCCTAACGTGAACGAATTATCATTAATTGGATGGAAAGAAAATTAATTTAAAGGAAACCAATTCTGTTGGTGATATAAATTGTACATGTTGAATTTTAAACAGTTGAATTTTAAACTTTTTATTTTTGAAGAATATATATAATTAATACATGCATATTATTAATACATGCTATTTTTAAGCACGAGGCAAACCAAAATACGACGCAGTATCTACGTGAAAAATGACTGATGAAAATCCTCAATGTCGAGGAATAAAAACGAACGCGATAACAGCTGCGCAACAGTTTTTACTGTACGCTAATTGCTATTCCGCATAATTATCACTACTTCCAACGCGCCTCACCTTCAATATTCTTTGCACGAACCATAACTGTGACATAATCGTGACAGTTTCTGGAACGTCCATCCAAGAATTAATCCATATGATTAATTAACATAAAAAGATATGATATTAATTTTAATAAATTTATTTTCTAAAAGATGTCATTAAATAAAAGTGTCAAATATTTTTCTTGTATTAAAAATATGATTAATAACCAACAAATAATATTTAAAGGAAAAGACATAACGAAAGGACATAACTTTACATAACTAAAAAGGAAGATCAAGTGCAATTTATCACATCATATTATACAACATATATTACATTATATTACACTTCATTATAAAAACAATAACATTACTCTTACATATATTTTACAACATGTAATTGTATATAAATCTTACTGCGTAACTTTTTACATGTTACATGGGGAAAATAGCAACGACCGATTGCTGTCGTCTTGCTCCTTCTGCATATATTTCCGTAGTAATGGCGGCGGTTTCCGTGCACGAATAAGTGCCGGGTTCGCGAATATATTATCCATCCGACGTCAACACGCACGGGTTATCGCGACGGTACATCGTAGTCGATACTGACCAGCCGTATAATACGCCACCTTATTGCTATTTTAGCGCATAATTTTCAGTGGCTCCGTCATGCTAGCAAGAAATACTACTCGATAGCGAAACAGCGTAAGTACTGCTCGATAGCGGAACGGCGAAATTTCATGAAAACTTTTGTTATTCTCCTTATTTCTAAGTTGATTGAAAGATACTGGCTGGAAACTAAATGAGAAATTATGTCGGTATTACTTTTCCGACTCCTAAAGAAATGTCGATTGACGTGGCAGGTAAATACTTGTCATGTGGATTGATTTACAGAATCGATTTGCCGGATTGTAAATAAATATTGGCCGGTTGAACGGTGAAGGGAAGTAATTAGCGTACTGATTACTGATCGGACGTTAGTATTCCCTCTCTGTCGTGCGCTAATAGAAAGTTATTCCGCCAACGTTGTAAATGGCGGTTTGTGTAACATGTGTCTCATTTTGATCCGCGCAATTATAGCTATCGTTGATTTTAATCGAGCCGTTTTAATGCGATTTCCCGGATTAAATTGCCAGCGCAATTAAATTTCGCATGGTTTATTTCTTTTATAAAATTCTATATTCCGTGTGTGCAAGAGCCGAAAGTGCGGTCGGCAGAGAACGTTCCATCGCCGGCACATAGTAGATAATTCTATTTTAATGTCTTGCCGTGGGTAATGAGCTGCCGACGCAGAACTTCCGGTGCGTAAAAAAAAGGTTAGTTTAAAAAGATTTATTTCCATTTGAATGAGGCGAAAGCGTTCCTCGGAGTTCAGCGTTTTGAAAAGGTCGTACACGTGTCCTCCAGTTTCTGCATTTCGAAAGCGAGTGCTCGACGAGCTGGACGAACGACGACAAGTCATTGAGAGTGATTTCGTGCAACTTATATAGCGAAATGTTATCTGACAAGTGGTCCCAAATAAGAAGGTAAAAATTGCACATTTCGAATGCAAATGCAACTCTGCTTCCCTTCTCCCCCCCCCCCTCTCGTCCCGCTCTTCTGTCTTCTCTCTTTCTTTTTTGTCTTTCTGTCTGCTTACGGAGTAAATAAATAAAGGCGTCTAGACATCTGTTATGTAGAGAACTGGTCTATCGTGCAAGCATCACTGATTCTATCGTTATTAAATATTTAAATATATTTAAATATTTATATAGCAATGTAGCAATACGAGCTGTCATCAATAAGTAAGATAAAGAATCACGTAAATAAGATAAAGAGTCATGTAAATAAGATAAAGAGTCTTTGATCCAACTTATGAGACGATTTCTTTCGATCATATTTTTTCTATTTCTATTTCTGTATTTTATTCTTAATAAAATGATATAATGTATATTGCATAATATATATATTTTTAATAAGCATAATGTACAATATTAATCGTGTTAATTATTTTCTTTGGTATTAAATACTTTATGATAATTGAATACAAATAAATAATTGTAAAACAAAAATAAGCACTTACTTGTTGCTTATTCCTCGTAATGTTGTTAACATTTTTCGGTTGTGATTCGTAGCCTCCATTGTGCTGTAATCAAAAATTAAAAACAGTTAATTAACAAGTTTATATGAATAATGTATAAGAATATATTATCTCTTTGAATAATCAAGATTTAAAATAACAGAAACATTATTATTATTCATTATCATATCTATAACATTAATAAAAGAATTTATTTTATACAATAATGCCACGCTAATATTAATTTAATATATTCAGTATATTCAGTATATTCAGTATATTCAGTTGTTGAGATAAAACTTCGTCTTATTAACTTTCTATTCGGTGCGTAAAAAATATCGTTATTCTCTTTACGGGCATTGTCCCAAGAAAAGTAAGTGACATTATTGTCCATTGTTTCAAAATTAATGATATATGATAAGTTATTTCCACTGTCAAGTTCCATTATTGTAAAAAAATTATGTAACAATAATTACAATAATACATTGTATTCGATATTCTTAAAAAAATAGCTACATTGGATTTGCCAAAAATATTTAATAATTATTAAATATTATAATTAAAAATATTTAATAATTATTAAATATTATATATCAAATAATTATGTCACAATATACATGCAAATATTAGTTATAATTATACAAGAAAGAAAAACTGTAGAAAAAGTACAACTGAAAAAAATATTTTCTGTTATAATTTTTTAACCTTGCAGAAAAGCTGTGATTAAAAGTTTTCTCAAGAAATAAAGGACTGAGTGAAGGTATCTTGATAGCGTTGCATAAAAAGTTTTTTATGTTTACAAAATTAATATTTATGTAATTATGCATATCTCTACAGATTTTTATATTTTTGCAACTAGCATATTTTCAAATTAATACTTCACATTTTTACTAAGGAGAAAAAGTTAAAGAATCTGTAGACGATTACGTCATCGTACACACGTCGCTCACGCATGCATGTACGAGTCACACGCACCTCGCTCTCTATATGAAGGGCAGTGTGCCAGACAGTAAATGCGATACGATGCAGCAGCGTCTCCGTTTCCTCTCGCAAGGGTGTTTCAACTTCCTTAAGGTTATTGTTTGCTGTATCTTGCCGAGGGTCTCCGCAACGACAGCAATTCGCTCGCAGCCAAGCGCGCGATAGCGAGCTGCTATTTGAACTCATCATTGGTACATAAGATCGTATTCGTGGTCTTTATGCAATTCATAATTTCCATATATCGTCCATTAGGCAAATAGCGTCGATGCTAGATCAATCAAACATTCTGACAGCAATAATAACGCAAATGATATCGCGTATCGATCATAATAAAATCCTTCAAGTATCGCACTCTTTTTCGTGGTCATTTACATGACCATCCGACTTTCTCAAACAGCTAGTTATAGTGTTAATGATATTTTCAATATTAATAATTTATCAGCAAAATCTTACATTTTTTTTATTCTCTGTGAATATCACCAACATTTATTAAAAATAATTAATAAGAGCCAAACGATTGGCTTAGTTTATTATCCCAGAAGGCTTTTCACATTTGTGTGATGTCTAATCTTAATTGCCTTAGCAATATAGATTCCAGATATTCCGAGCCACGTGTATTAATGTAAGGCATATCATATTCATTTCTTTGGGCACCGCCTCTTTTTTTCCTTCTTTTTCCTTCCTCCGGTGAAAAATCGCAATGTTTGCCAAATACTTTTCTGCAATCCGCCGCGGATCATCGAACGTCGTTTTTGGGTCAACTGTTATATAAATGTAACGTTACTTCTTTTTGATCACAAAACATTAGATTCTTATTGCATCAGGGATAGATCGAAGTCTTATCGTTATTAACTACTATTTGAGCACTTTTGTATTTTGTACTGAATACGCATAATCTTCATATATCATATATATAACTTGGACTTTTGCAGATTATACTTATGTAGTAATTACTTGTATATTACTGAGCTTTTATATATATTTTTTATAGATTTAATCTATATAACATTAATATAGATGTAACGGGTATATATTAAATATAATATAAATCTATATATTCTTCTATCGTTTCTAAAAAAAAAAACACATAAAATCTTTTATTACAGCCCAATTACTGGCACTTTCTGACTGGCACTATCATCCGTTTCATGCATTTAACATTTATATTCACAATAGTTGCGTGTTGCACGTTTCAATGACTTAATTCCTTAATCACGTCTTAATCGGCTATCAGCTTGACATGCGAATAAATACACTTGTAATGACATAGCTTTCGAAGCATCGTACGTAACCACGCCGCATGATTAGCTCGCGCGATCCCACCCTACCTAGCGCCAATCAATTCACCTGCCGCGGCTCCGGCTTGCAGGTGTGCGTTCAAGGTCATTCGCGTTTCAAGGTACGCACCCTCTCGTGGTCACGTTCAATTTATCGAGCGTTTCTCTCACAACCGAGCCACCTTTCACATCTCGATACTGCCGCTTGCGGCTCTGCTTCTCTTCAAGGTATTGCCACACGAGGAATCTACAAGATGACACGCTTGAAACGATTCTCAGGATGAGAATTCCGGTCGTATCACGCGACCTGGGACAATCGGAACGAACGTCTGCGCCGCACGGGAGCCGCCCCGGCGCTGCGGGTATACAGAGGGTTGAAAGCCTGCATCTCTCCCGGCAGGCCGGGATGGTCTATGGCGGGGTGGCACGGGGTGAGAGAACTTGACACGTAACTATGGCGACCGTAGTCGGCGTTGTGATGTTACACGCAGGCCCGATCCTGCGCTGCGCGGATCCTTTCCTCGAGCGTGCGAACTTCCGGTTCAAGCCGGTAAAGAATATAGGGACGACACCTCCGAGTGGCTGGAAACGCCACTCCCTTGAAATATAATTAGGCCATGTTGTCTCGCGCGAAATTGTGTGGATGGTCCCTCGAAATATTTATTAGCCGGATTAGCGGCCACAAGTTGGTCTCCGAGTGAATGAGATTTTAATAATGCGGGCTTATGAAATTTATTTCAACGTCAAAATCACTTTTCGTCACGTTAACATGATTATATTCTCTATGTAATAATGATAATATAATCCACATATTTAAGAGTACTTGATGTTATTTCAAAATACACAGTCTATATAATCTGTTGTACACATAATACCAATATTAAACTAATGTCTCTGCGCAAATTTCTTTACTTAGAGTGATACTCAAATACTCTTTGCAAACTTGGGACATTTTTATCGTCCAATTAGAAATCGATCTCTTCTTAATGGCTTTTCTTAAGAAACTTTATTCCTCGTTTAATGGAACGAGAAACTAAATGTATCTCGATTTGCAAAGTATTACTCGCTCCTATATAATGTTATCGATACGTTACTTTAGGTTGCTTCATGCGTCTCGGTGCGGTCGCATCGCCAATAAGGAAAAGCACAGCCGAGTGCCACTCCCATGGAATACAATTAGGCCACCTGGTGATATACACGTTATTTTCTCCAACGCCATTTACTTTGTACACACATCTACATTTTGCGCGGACGCGCGCTTGAACTTGCTAATTTGTAGCCCGGCAGGGAAATTGTAGAGAACGAGATTCACGTCGCAACGTTGGATACAATTTTTAATGTGTTTCTAACAAGATTTTCATCATTTCGAATGATGAAATAGCTTCGCGAGAGCGTATCGTGACACGTGCGAGATGACTTCGCGTACTTGATATACCGCACCCTTTCGATGTAATTAGGTTAAGCTTTTATATTAAAATTGTAATAACGTGTGTGGACGTACTTTTAAGAGGAATTTCACGCTATCATGAGATAGCTTAAGATTACATATCGATTTTTCTTTCATTTAAGATATACCGTGAGAACTACTTGAATGTAACAAACTATTTCTAAGAGATCTTCATTATGCAAAAAGGAGAAATCCGATAATCGGTATAATCAGCCGATTTTATGTCGTACTGAATTAAGGTGTTGAATGTGAAATTTTGCTTCACGATAATTTGCATAGAAAAACAGTAAGTCAATGCTGTTTTAATATTATCATACCTGCACTTTGTCACGGCACTTCGTTGAACATTTAAAGGCTGTCTTGATAATTCGTCCGTCTTGACGTAACACGCTAATTTCCAAGCAAAAGAAATACCAGCGATATTTTATGACAACATAAATTGTATAAAGAGGACCGATAGACCTTCGTAAGTAAAACACGTTTTGCCAGGACTAGATACAAGGATATCCTTGACGAGAGATCGCAGATGGAATATATTATCGGTCGTTTCTGTCTGGGAATCCAGATTCCATCTGGATTGCAAAAACTGTGCGATTACTAAATCAACCATGCAAAAATGCGAATAGCGTAGCTTTGCCTCTAAAAAGGGCGGATAGAAGTTTTTTTCGGGAATAACAGAGATGTGATATAAATCGCAGTATTTTTAGATTTCGTTGAAAACAGCTTGCCACACAAAAAATGATGGCGTACTGGTAATTGTTCTTAAAATACTATACTTCCAGATTAAAACAATTTAACGTCGCAGTCTAACGTATCGTACAAACGATAATTATATTGCTAATAATAAATCATTATTATACAACGTAATAAGCGCGAGACCATTGAGCTTTAATTGACTTAATCGCTTAAAATATGCTTCTACCAACTGAATCGATTAATGCGTGTATGTATTAAAATGATGTGTTTTATTGTCGAAAGGAAAGATCAATGGTCCAATCACGCGCGGTCCAATCATTAAATCCGATTATGACGAAATTTTTTACTATTTTTCACAATAATCCGAATAAATTTATCATCAAATTTATTATGGTATAACTTATTATAAGATTGCTATATTAAGTTTGCTTAATAAATTAAATAAAGATTTAAAGCATTGCATATGGATTTTTAAAATATTAATTCTTTCATGCACATTTTATTTATATACGATTTAAATTTAATTTAACAAAATTTATATTTATTTAACTCGCATGGAAATTAAAAAAAAATATTCATTTTATTTTATTATCTCACAATTTCTGATTTCTTAATTTATTTTTACGATATTCCACAGAAAATTTCCCTCCTTACGTCATGTGAAA